CGACCAATCACATACGCCCGTCAATCGATCAATCAATTTTTCAGCCAAGACATTGCCATGCGTCCTCACTAACTGGCTACTCGTACCCGGCTGTGATTGGCCGATGCGGACAAACAAGGTGTCGTATTTGCAACGATTACGTATTAGCCTCCTGTACAGAATGAACATTATCTACTAGTATCTTCTCCCTTCCCACCTCCTTCTTGTCATCATTAACGCACCCGTTTCCATTCATTGTGGTGAATCAGACACTTTAATTACATTTACTGTCCCAGTACAAATGCCGTCATTTCAACATAATTACGTAGTAAGTCGAAATTTCGCACTGAAAAATTTAGCAGACCAACATTGCACGCTTAAAACCGGTAGTCGGGGAGGGGCCATTAGGTACGATATGCAAACGGGCAGGAACGACGTGAGCACACTTGAGAACATCTGTTCGTCTATCTGGTTGCCGGATACGTAGAATGATTAGCTGTCTACGGTGGACTTTGGACGCATGCAAATAGTGGATATAAAAGCAGTACCAAGTGGGTTGTCGAAGCCCACTTTTAACACAAATGTTGCCGCTTTGTGGTGGACTATTCATGTCAAATTACTATCCTGAAGAAATGAGAAAAAACAGGATTGACTCACAACTAAATATGACCGCATGCTAGAGAATATTGAAACGCTGTCATACTCAAAATAGAAGTACTGACGAGGAATATGTTTCCTTCTTCTTTCTAATAACAATTAAGAAAGTATAAGAAATAATTGGCTCTAATCTGCAGAATGTTCTTACAGGGCAATTTAACATGAAAGTGGGATAGATAACATATTCTTATTTCTCCAGTAAAATTTAATCACAGACCCTCGCATTAGAAGCTCACTTGCTCCTAAAGCGAGGACTGGTTTTGCCAAAACGCGTGAGGGGCATGGTAGGCCACCACTTGAAAAATCGGCCACATGCCATGAGCGTGTTGATATCGCGCCAGCTCTTGAAAGGATTGGAGGTTTACCCAACCAATCAGATGAGGCAGACGTCCAGCCGACAAACCAGCCCGCCGGAGACCTTATCTTATTGGTCGAATTTCGGTTAGACCTTATTCATCCCCATTAAGTCAATACGCGCTTTTATCCGCCATTGCTGTTCAGTCCTAAATCGGAGATTCGATCAACGACCACTACTGCCGCTGTAAACGCATTGGTACTGCCCAGAGTTAAATAATCAACAGTGATTAGCCTTTCCTCACTCATCCTGACAAGTGACTCTCTTCATGAAAATTCCACCGATCCCGGCCACACCTAACAGCCTTTCATGTACATTTGGGAGGATTCGCGAAGTAAACGTTTAGAGGGAAAAGAGTGGAAAGTTGCATTGTGTAAAAGTCCCACGGTTTGTCAAGAGTAGCGCCCGCGTACAACCATCAATCTAGGGATAGTAGTTTCTAGTTCATACGGTGAGTGACCGATCTCATGAACTGTTGGCCGAAATTCTGAAATGCGTTTTCGACTAGAAGGGATTACTTAGACGCGGTTGTAATACTGATTATACTGCAGCATAATCCTATAATATTCCGGACTCGGCAGGATGTTGACTTTTGAATACATTGCTTTTCAAACTCCTGCACAAACCGTACTACGTAAAACATGACTACTGGCGTAGCATGCATTTATCCCATAGATTTTTTATGTTCTTGCAAATTCAAATATATTTTAAAGAAACTACAGATAAAAATAGGCTTTCTTTCAGTCATCTGATAGAGAATCACGTAGCCTTTATATTTTATATTAGAAAAAGGTGCATAATTAGGTTTTAAAATGTTTTCTAATTGCCGACTAATTTGAGGCCTGATCAGTCGTTGCACTAGTGCCTAATGATTTCAGTCTAGAAAATGCATGCGTTCCGCGTAAGGAAAATCACATATTCTTCTGCGCTTTTCAAAAGACACAAGTTCGGGTCCATAAAATTTTGTAATGGGTGCGGACTATGTTGTACATTTCATGAAGAGCAGTGTTAAACCGACAGGAACGAGGATGTATGAATGGACATTGAACGGTGTTTAAAAATTTCATAATTAAAAAGAATTTTAAAACTTAATTATACTCCTTATTCGGGTATAAAATATAAAGACGACGTGATTCTCTATCGGACAACTGAAAGAAAGCATACAAAATGTATTTGAATTTGCAAGACCATCGAAAATCAGTGATAAAAATGCATACTACGCAAGTAGTCATTTTTAACCGAGTGTATTCTATAGCTGATATCCTGCCAAGTCCAAAATATGGCAGGAATATGCTGCATGATAATCAGTATCACAACCGCGCCTAAGTAATCCATCCTGGTGGAAAACTCATTTCAGAATTTCAGTCAACGTTTCATGAGGTCGGTCACTCACTGTATGTACTACAAACACTTTATCCACATGAAATGCCTTGCATTTGAAAAGACGGTTGTCTACGTTTTGTGTGCGCCGCTTTTTCTTCTTCGGTAGGACTGACTTCTGTTGACGTCTAAGCAAGATAAAAGAACAGGAACCGTCTTCAAAACGGATGGCTTGTAGCCAACTTCTAGTGAAATTATGGTTAAGTTTAAGTTTAGGTCTAGGGTTAAGTTATGGACTAGAATTAAGTTTCGATTTGAAGTTAATGGTAACATAAGCCAGGACCAAGTTTGGGGTTAAGGTAGGGGTCAGTGTTAATAGCAGGTCTAAGGTTTAGGGTAGGGATAGGTTCAAGGTTAGGCCAACGGTTTATTTCCTGAACTAGGGTTGTTGTATGGGTCAGGGCACGGTAATATTCCACTCACCCTAGAATTATGCGCAGTCCTACCCTTATTAATTGGGCTGGATGCTTCTAATTCCATGTCCTGTGTAGACGTCCACATAAATCAATCCCGCCGATTTTTCGATTTCTTCTAAAACCTATGCCTTTTGCTATTTTTCACTGGCGACAATTCATTGGGACAAATTTTCTCGTAATTCTATGCTTCCCTGGAAAGCAATTAGCGTCAGGGTTTCCCTGCATACTATGTGAAATGAGGGTTTTTGTGCGTACCACAAGTCCATTAAATTGACTGTTAATTCAGGGGACGTGTGGATAGGGCAAAATGTACGTGAAGGGAATACATATGGGGTACCGCATGGTTATAAGTACCCCCGTATTACTGGTAACATTGCGCTAAATTCCAGAAAGGAGTTAATGCTTGGGTTGGGGCTGGCAGCCCGATTTTTACGGTAAGGGGGTGGGGCTCAAGCATAAAAGTTAGGAATAGGCACTCCACCCAAGGATTTAGTGCAAGACCATCTGTAGTACCGGGTTAGTCAGGAAAGCGTGCCTGAAATCAGCGGCATCAATCGATCAGCCCAGTCGCGTGTCACCCACTGATGATGTTCGCCACAATGCGCGATGCCTGCGTGCGCCTAGGTTTTGTCCTGTTTCGGCCAATCATTAAAGAGCGAAACACTGTCGACAAGTCTACTGGCGGACCACACTCGGTTCCAGCAGTCGCCTGGCTAGGGGTTTTGGTCGTTGTTTTCACACCCTCATCAGGAGGTACCTGCTGCTTAAACCGGGGGTGTTTTACTCATTGGTCCTGTCTCCCGCTGTCTAACGATCTTCGCAGAATGCGGCAATTCCATTCCTGTTATGCAGTTGTGGTCTACAGAGCAGACAGACAGTTGGATCTAATTGCCTATTTATTGCTCTCGTTATCGCAGTGAGAACGACGTGGCGACCACCAATACTGCCGTTGGAAAGCATGCGACCGGTGTATGGGGATACAAGTTGTGCTAGGAAGACTGGTTGAGCCTCTAATTAATTAGCCGCACCTGAGCAAGCTAATCAGTGTCCTAACAATCTTTTCGCGTCCCTATATTTTCTTTGATCATCGTGGTCGCACAGCTAAGTCTCGTGGGCCAGTCGGGGATGCCGCACCTATATTAATCGACACCGGACCAGTATTCCTTTGGTTTCCGGCGACCTTGAAGACATGGTTAATTCTGAAGCTTTTGCGATACGCAATCAATAAAAGTGGGAAAACATCTGCCTCACTGTCCGGCTGTCCAGGTGTTAACTGTAGTCTAGGGAGGGTCTCTCATAGTTCCGCTTGCCTGAATCCTTCACAGAAATGGCAGTCTAATCCCATGGAAAGTTACAGGAACAGCTCAGAAAACGTAGCTATATGGGAAATAAAACTAATGAACATATACCGCTGGACCTTTAAACATCAGGGTTAAATAATGACGAGACGTCGACAAATGTACAATAAAACTGGAATAATCGCAAACGGGTTCTTTGGATGTTGGCTTTTACTGTGCTGCAGACCTTACGCGTCTAATCTCTCTCTCTTACAATATTTTCGTCCACGGAAATTAAATGACAAACCATACGCCCAGTACAAACAACACTTAAACATCCAGACAAAGTGATTGTTGGTTTCTCTATCAGTGCATGACGCAGCCGCAAAGGATTCTGCTCCAAATTTTCGAGCGTTCCCTGTGTGCACTCAGATATTTACTCACTTCGACTTTCGGCTTTTCATTTTCGTCGAAACTTAATGTGTTTAACTGCAATCAAGCCTTCGGGCTAAAAATTTTTAGAGTTCTATCCAGAGTTCGATACACACGTTTGCGCAACAATTCCGCAGACTCAGCGGAATAATCACGTAGTAATCACAATCTATTAACGGACTGATCAGAAGAAGAAGCGATCGCTGGAACAATGGCTTTATTCGCCTGACGTTTCGGATTCTCTCTTGAATCCATCATCAGAGACAGTTGCAGAAAAGGGTGGCTAGTGTACAGGAAGTCGCAGTATTTATAGGAGGCGGTCGCCATGCTACCGCATACCTACAGCAATTAACCGTGCTCCCTTCATCAAGGATTGTTGCCCGCTGGTGCGCTAATTGCTTGATGGCCGGCATGCAAGTTGTTAATTGCTGACATCTCATCACCCGTGTTGGATGCTGGCGTGATGATTGCTCGGCCATCTGGCTCACGTGCTTGCGCGCTGTTCTAGTGGTCAAGTGCTTTGGCCAGTCTATGCCTCAGGACAGAATATGGAGTGGGGATGTCGTTGCACTTGTTGATAGACTGAAGTCCCGTGAACCATGACTCAAGCAACTCGCGGCTCACGCGATTATCCCCTCTCGCGAGAATTTCGGCCTCATCGAACTTGAATGTGTGGCCGGGTCTCGTCGAATGGGCCGCGACCTGAGAGTTGGCGTCATTTCTCCGTACAGCTGCCACGTGTTCGGCAATTCGCGTCGGGAGCAGTCTTCCAGTTTCTCCGACGTAGTTGCTTTGTCCGCAACTGCAGCAGATCCGGTAAACGACTCCAGATGTTTCTTGCCGTGGCAGTGGGTCTTTTGGTCTCATCACTTGACGCCTCATGGTGGCCTCCGGTCTGTGCGCTACTCCAACCCCAAGTGGTGCAAGAAGGCGGCTAACGGCCTCGGAGACTTTCTTAATGTACGGGATCGCTCGCCAGAATTTGGGGTCGGCGCGATTTTGTCGCTCGTCTCGTTTGCGCAGGCACTGGTTGACGAAGTTGCGCGGGTAACCATTTTCTCGGAAAACCCGTCGAAGATATTGGGATTCAGCAACCTTGTCTTCCGGTTCACTGCAGTGCGTCTCAACACGCCGAAGTAGCGTTCTTACGCAACTGCGTTTGTGGCAGATTGGGTGGTTACTGTTGAAGTTCAGAATTTGCGTCGTGTTCGTTGCTTTTCTGAACACTTTGGTCTTTAGGCCACCCCAATCTTTGCGACAGACGAGGACATCAAGGAATGCCAGCTGGTTATTCTCTTCCTCCTCCATCGTGAATTGTATGTCCGGGAAGACGCTGTTGAGACGTTCTTTGAACGTTAGCACCTGATCCCGTTCGATGACGACGAAGGTATCGTCCACATACCGAGCCCAGAATTTCGGTCTGTGGTGTTGGAAGACCAGCGACTCCAACCGCTGTAGCACCGCCTCGGCGATGAACCCCGAAATCGGCGAGCCCATTGGTGTCCCCTTCACTTGCTCGTAGATTGTTCCGTCAAATGTTAAGTACGTCCTGAGACAGAATTTTAGGAGCTGAAGGACTTGGGCATGTCCGAGACGATTCTCCGTTTCATCGTATTTGCTTCATAGGAGTAGCTGGACGGTCTCGATTGCCAGATCCTGGGGAATAGAAGTAAAGAGGGACGTGACATCAAAAGATACCATGACCTCATTGGGCAAGAGACTTACTCCTTTAAGCTTCTCCAGGAATTGCGTTGACGAACAGACCGTGGTGTCCGAATCAGCGGTCAGAAATTTGAGGCGCCGAAACAGCCATCTTGCCAGTCCGTACGTTGGAGTGCCTTTGAGCGAAACAATGGGCCGGAGAGGAGCGCCCTCCTTGTGCACCTTTGGAAGACCATAGAATCGGGCCAAAGCCGTTTCTTGGGCTCTCGCCATGCGTCGGTCGGTCGCTGTTATTGCACCCGAGTTCTCCAGTGCCAACAGTGTTGCATTAATTTCGCGTGTCAGCGTTTTTATGGGGTTGGTTTCACATGGGACATAGAACTGGCGATCCTCCAGTAGGTATTTGGCCTTCTGGAGGTAGTCTGTTCTGTCCAGTACGACGGTGGAACGCCCCTTGTCCGCGGGCACAATGACGATGTCGTTGTCGGCCTTGAGTTCTCTTAGTGCATCGCGTTCGACCTTTGTGAGTGTTTCGCGCGGCTTGTGAGTCATAAGCAGGGACGTAACTTGGTGTCGGATGAGGTTCTTCGTCTCCTCCGCCGCTTCCGTCTGATTAATGACCGATTCCACTGCTGCAATCATGTTGACAGGTTTGGCGTCAGCTGTGTTGAATGAGGCTTCGTGCCGCAAAACCTGTGCTTGCTCCTTCGTCAGTTCCTTTGACGACAGGTTGTTTACCAGTGTGCCGCTTCTGGATGACGTTGGGTCAGGCAGTTTGTGGAATTTGTTCCCCAATGCTGCATCGCGTGTCGCTCTCTGCTCGCGGGCTCGTTCAGTCACTTTCTGCTGAAGCAGATTTGTGCCGTTCTCGCCCATGAACTCGCAGCATCTGGTCTTTTCTTGGTCAATTCTCTGACGGTATTTGCGTAGTCTCGCATGGCAATCTTGAAGGAGCACGCGGATCATACGTCTTCCGTGCTGAAATACTGCGCGTCTCGCTAGCTCCGTGATTACGGGAGGTTTGTATGAAACACACTTCGGCAACACGTTGTTATCGAGACACCTGTGCAGAAACCGGATCTGCGCGTAAGTAGAGGCCTCTCGAAGGGCGAAAGTTTCCCATCGTCGGGCCGATCGGAGCGCGTCGCGCCCAAACAAATTGCGAATAAAGCCATTGTTCCAGCGATCGCTTCTTCTTCTGATCAACTAGTTCCTGGAACTCGCATTTTCGCTTGTATCAACGGACTGCCAGTAGTATAAAAATTCCGAATGGCCGCCACAGACAGTTAAAATTTACATGCTGTATGAGCAAAAGCAGATTGCCTATAGACTACCTTGGAGTAAAACTTCAACGTATTATTCTTAACCTCTGGCATATACCAAATCGGCCTGTCAGTTGCCACTGCTCCTATTTCCCTTAACCATGAATTTTAAATGAAAATGTGATATTGCCACCTCTGTGATAGATAATACTACGTCAGGACAAATATCTGGATCACAGGTCTTCCTTTTTTACCCTGGTGAACATCTTCGTTTGCTTTTTTGAACGACCATGAAAGTCTCTCATCGAAAACAGAAACAGTCACCGCATACAACGCTCCCCAGTCAGTCTGGAACTTTGCTCCGCGACACGCAGGGGGGGGCGTTCGATGTGCTGATTTTTCCGATTCACCACAACTGGTCCCGGGCTGCTTCAATGATGACGCGTGAAATAAACCGTATGCTTCATAAGGCGAAATAATTATCCAATTTCAGGGAGTATACAGCACTCGCAGCAGCTTTTGCGGTCAGCTACACCGTCATCGTCGGCTGTCACAGCGGTCGTTCTGGAGCGCATTCGTCTCCGCCTTGGTTCCTTTTGAAGTACAGCAAAAAAATTGAAAGCTGATGCACAAGATCAGACTCTTCCTGAGACTTTAAACGGTCATGTCGCGTGACTCGGTTCTTCACAGTAGCTTCCGGCGGATCTAGCCGTAGCAAACTTCGCTGACTCACAGTTATTACTAATGCATCGCATGGAATTTCGTTGCGAGTGCTTATTCACTAGCTGATATCGGACCAAGTCTCTAGGCTGACGGACTTCGTAAGTCGGTTCCTACGACCATAAAGATAAGCAGTGCGTCTGGTTCAAAGTGAAACGTGAAGAATTTTCCAGAACGGAGCCCAGCACACAAGGCCTCCTATTAAACAGGGCGCTTTCATGACCAAGAAGGTTGACTTTAAATAAACGGACGTAAAGTATCGCATGAAATGTCTCTGGAAGTACTGAAACACGTTTTTGATTAGAAAATTTTCCTTGTTGGGTTGAAATGCTGATTATCACGCAGTACAATTCCAGGGTAGCTAAATCCCGCCAGGCCTCTAACTTTTGAAAGTTGTCCTTTCCAGCTACCTCTACAAACTTTAGTCGCGTAAGGATGGCCACATATTTTGCATGAATTTTTGCCATCGACTTTTGATGCTTTAAAAATCGAAATATACCTTAAAGTTGCAAATATTTCCAAATCAGTATTCAAAAGACGAGTTGGTGAGCACGCGTTTGCTTTCGAAAAATGCTCCTCATGCCAACACACTTGTAAGGGATTGAAGTTAGGTTTAAAAACACAGACGGGGCGACAGCGGAAGGGAGCGGAAAGTTGCATTTGATCAGCTAACCTTTGATCGCAGTAAGTGCGGAACTTGAGCGAGGGTCTTCTGTGCGCATATACTATACATCTGGTACTACTTCTTAATAAAAGACGTCTTCTTTAAATCTTATACTCGAGCAACCTGTGCCTTTCAACTTTAAAAAGTCCGTTATCAGATCTGCAAGGCCTTGAGACGTCTGCTAAGATAGCGAGCGATTTGCCTGTTAATTAAAGCTCCTCGTGAAGTATAGAATAGTTTTCATGTACTGCAAAATTTAATGAGTCGTTCTTAATGGCATGATTTTTATTTTATGAAGAGCACACGGCTGGTAGTTTAGAAAACCCACGTGTAAGTGTACATGTTGGTCGGGTTCAAAATTATACGGCAAGTTGAAAATATTTGTAGGACCGAGAGATATTCTATCTTCAAGTATAAGATGTAAAGAGGAAGTGACTATAACCAAACGAATACAAGAAAATGGTCGTACATGACGCCCATAAAAAGCGTTTAAATTTTCAATTTCCCAGAAAATACATAGGTAAGGCCCGTCCTAATTAGGTACATATTTTTGCCAAGGGCGGTTTTTGCAGGCGGCCGGAAAGATATACATCTAAGTGCCGACATCGAGTTGCGAACGATATCAAACATCACGAGCTTGATCAAATAGTCCTTTATAACCGAAAGCGTATTTCAGCATTTCTATTAACATCCAACGGCATGCGCTAGCTCCTGAAACAAGAAGATTAAGGAGAATCCGAAAATAAAAAGGTGTAATGCGTGTCCAGAGTCGGCTGCACGTCAGAAAAACCGACTCCCTTTAAGCTTCTCTATGGAATACATGACTTGGGTTGGTTTATTTCCCATTTTTTTGCATTCAAAACCGCTGCGAAGTTACAGTCTGTGACTGATTTCATAAAATGTTAACCGAAATTCTGAAATACCTTCTCGATAAGGAAGGATTACATAGGTAAGGTTGAAATATTGATTATCCTACAGGATAGTCCTACGGTAGCTTGGACTCGCGAGGACGTTAACGTTTGAAGGCAATTTTTTTCGACCAACCGAAAAGCTAACTCGGTGAAAAGATAACTACTTATGTAGTATCGATTTTTCGTACTTATTTTCGATGCCCTCATAAATTCAGACCTACTCATTAGGAAGAAATTCACAAAAATGTTTTTACTCAGATTTTTTGCCAGAAAATATGCGCATTATTCTAAATTAATGCTTAAGGAAAGAGTATTATTTGGTTTCAAAAGGGTCTAAAATTCCCGAATGATTCCAAATCTAATTTTTCGTTATATTTGTATTAAACGATATCAGTCTATAACGTGTATACTTTCCGCTTAAGGAAAATCCTAAATTCCTCCACGCTTTTAAGAAGATATTATGGAGAGCTCATAAATGTCGTAATGCATGCAAACTATACTGTATACTTCATGAGAAGCACCAATAAACGGACAGGCGCGATGCTGACTAGACACTACACACTCCAAAAAAATCCCATAATTAGAAATTTATTTGCAAAACCGAACAAAACTTTTTTTCATTTGTAACATTTAGAGAATGCGCATATTTCTGCCAAATAAATACAAGAGAGAAGAGTTTTGTGCATGTGTTCTGCAGAATATATAGGAATCAAAAGGGGCAACGAAACTCCATGTCAAAAATTACTACTACCTAACAAGCATTTTTTGCCGAACAAGCATTTTACAGGAGGTCGAAAAAGAAATGCATGCAGAAAATATCTTCACGAGTCCGAAATATCGTTGGATTGTCCAGCAGGCTAATCATCACTACAACCCTACCTAAGTAGTTCTTCCTAGTCGAGAACGCATTTCAGAACTTCGGTTAACATTTCATGAAATCGGTAACCATCCACTGTCCTAGTACACGATTCAGCGCACTGACTTCTCCTGAAGGAATCTACATCCGCTCCTTTGTCGGTTAGCTTCCAAAATCTTCAAACGACCGCTATTGCCACTTCGGAGGCAGTTGTGCAGTCCTTCATTCGCTGCAGACATGAGAAAAGAGAACTGATATTGCAATGACTAATGGTCACAATAGAGGCTGAACAAGAAAGTTTGAGAGGTGGAGTCGAGCAACACCCAGTTATGCCATGCAGATGCATAATCCTAATTAAAAGGGGGCAATAACAAAAAGACTGGAACAAGGACTCGAGTATTTAGAGGGACTGATTGACCATACAGCCGCACCCTATTGGTTGGCAGGCCATGCGCCAATCAGAAATCGCTGAGCGTTCATCGTGGCCACGTCTGAATGGTCGATCGTTGCACCCTCATACGTGCAAAATGGGGCAATCGCGCTGATCGACAACTACTACAGTCATGGTTGTCGACCGAAGATTATCCGGAAAACGCGACGCATTCCATCCAGCTCGTGCAATGTTTAGTCTGGGTGCGCATATGAGGTTCGACTAATTCTCACAAAAAATACAGTCTATAGGACACGGCAGCATGTACCCCGGACTACAGGTGGTCGTGTGCTAAGTTCCAAAAGGTACGGGATGCAAGGGTTAAACTTAGGACACGGGATAAGGTTCCCACGGAATTTAACGCGAAGTCACCAGTAAACGAGGGAGTGTCTTGTTGGTATGCCAACTGCGTCCTCTCACAACACCGAACTTCCTGACTACAGTTGACGTGCTAACTCGTGAAATGTTGACAGGAATCCTGAAATGCGTTGCCGACTCGAAAAGATTACTGGCGACAGTGGGGTGAAGAACCCCAACTGGCTGTCCGTTTACTGTGAGTCGTGTCATACGGGAGTCGTGGAAATGGGTGTACGGGTGGCAAGACACGCCGGACAGTAAGACGCGGAGATGCACAGATGACGGTCGGTGACAAAAACGACGCTTTCGAGAAAAAGGATGAATTTATGCAGATACAATATCCAGCTGGTTATCTTATGATTCTCCATGTTGAATGAGTGCATGATCATCGAAAAGTTGAGTCTACCCCGGCAGATATTTTCTGTTATCCTTCAATACATGCTAAGTAGATCGCCGTTTTTTGATAATCTGCTCTTGAGTACAACTGCCAGTCATCAGTGCTTCATTGGATTTCACAAATACATAAATCGGCGAATGACCTACATTCTACCGACATCTAATTTGGTCCTTCACTCTACTGTTGCCAAGACCTCTTTCGAGTGGTAACGGCTGCCCAATTATTCTGATTGATATGCAACACAATGCAGATTTTCTGGTTTGCCGGCTTTATGAAAAG